GCACCCATGCCTCAGGTTGAAGGCTGATCTAGCAGAAGACTCACCCTGCTGCCATGTGATTTCCAGATTCCCCTTGAGGGAAGAAGAAAGAAAAGGAGAAAAAGACAGGCTGGTCATTTTGTCAGTATATCACCACCATACAGGTCTCACCACAAAGTCCTCAAAAACCTCATACCCTATCAATACTACTTTCAATCCTAGTTTTTCACTCTGTTAAAACATCACTATTTTTGTGACCTGTAAACCAAATCAGTCCAGAGAGAACTGATTATTTTTAACCTGACCATTCCACTGGGCTGCCACAGGTAAGACATAGCCTGAGAGAAAATGTGCAGTCAAGAATAGGAACTCCTTTTTAACACTGATAAAGACAAATGAGAAATTACAGCTTAAAACACAGCAGTATGTTTTAGACCACTCCGAAGTTCTACATTTGAATTAAGAAAGTCTTGAATTAAGAAGGTAACAACTTGAAACATACAATAACATAAGGCCTGCCAGCATTGCTTGGTAAAATGAAACTCCGGATGAAATAGTTCACAGTGTTTTGCTTCTTATATTGCTTAGTATTAATAGGAGTGAAGTACAGTACTTTGATACAATACCATAGGGCTATCATATTTGCCACTAGATACAAGTTCCAGAACACAGACAAGTAGCTGCTGCTCAGGAGATTCACCAACCGTTCACTGTTGCAGTAGCAACAGCTGATGCCCAGATGCTAGGTAATAACAGTGCCCAGCCTAAGAACTTAAGAAGCTGTACGATCTTACCCAAGTGTTAAACTCGCAGGTCAAAGTTAGTTCTAACAGACCACAGCAGCAAAGACTTAGTTACCTCTGTAATCAAATTAGTATACTCAGCCTTAAATTTAATATTCTGTTGAAAACCCTGTTGTAACTATTAATACTAATTTGTCTTCTACACAAGTTCTTCCCTGAAAAAAAAGTCTGTCATTAAAAATCTGAACAGAGCAAAATTCAGTTTTCCTATTTCTGTCAAAAAATCTGTGAATTACATGGGACATCCCCCAATTCACTCAACTAAAAATATATACCATCAGTTTATTTATAGATGAAGATAGATGCTCTCATTAAACAAAATATATAGACTGTATGCACACACTGTAAGCAAAAACACTCAAGAATTCAACGAATACACAATGAGCACCCGTAGAACAATAACTTAATTCCCTGTGTGTGCATAACTACAGTGATCAGAACTCTCTTGATTATTTTCCATCTCCTGTAAGTTTTCTTTGATTATGTCTAATAGTATCTTGAATTTAGCCTCCTACTTGCTCTTCTAAAGTACCCTCCAAGCCCAAAGGTTTAGCTAAACTTAATATTCCAGTCATTTTTTTCTACTCTAATTACTAAAATAAATGAATGTTAGCATGTTAAATACTTCTTTTAATGCAAGAACCAGGATAATGATTTAGGTGAAGTGATATTTGAAGTGGACTTGAGCAAGGGCAAAGACTACTGTCATAATAAGAACGAAGAAAAACAAACATGCATATATTTTAGCACTGCAGGAGAAAGAATACTTCAATCACCAAAAAGTTAGGACAAGAAAACACTAAACAGTTAAGGAAATAACAAGACTTAAGAATGATGCGCGTTTTATCACCTCAATGATAAGAAGACTATCCGTGGGCATTTTAAAATGTTTTTTTAAAGAGTCATATTGCCAAAGCTATGAAAGAGCTGCACGTTCCAATCTTCATATCTCCTTAATTTACCCCTAATATAAACGCCATACACATTATTATAGATCTTGATTCTAAACTTGTCATTCAAATATAAATAAAAACTGAAGAAGAAGAAATTGGCTGAGTTAATTACATATTGTTGCTTCTAGTAACACAGATTTGTGAACAGAATTTTTAAACCTTGTACACCACAGCAAAATTTCACTATAGTAGTGAAAAATAAAACCACAAATACTGTGATACATCGTACAAAACACAGAACTATTTCAACTTCCAGCTAAGAAACTGACTACATTCTAGCAGTTCAAGTACAAGGAACGATTCTTGTCCCCAGCAGTAGACTACTAATTTAGTTAGTTTCTGTTGCAATAGAAATGGTATGTTAATAAAAAGAATTGTGATTTGAAAAAGTACTGTTTTATGTATGTTCTATCATGTATAATAGGGAAATATCTTGTCAAACCTATCAGTAACACAATTACTTACAAGCAAATCTTTTAGGGGTGGGATTATAAAATCAGAATTAGGAAGAATGTAATATATTCAAATTTAGAGGTCACTGCCTGTTCTTGACCAAAAGCTTTATTAAGAGAGAAAGTGAAGTCGGAACAAAGCAGCTTGCTCAGAAAAGACAGGGAAAATGTACACCAGGCATATCCAATCTGCAGCTCGCCCCCTGCCCACGCTATAGAGATGAAGAACACACAGCCATGCTTTCCATTTTAATAAAAGAGTTTGAGAATGGTTTTAAAGACCAAAAAAACCCCACAAAAACATTAACTTATGTTTGCAAAACTGCTTTCAGTTGATATAAATACATTATCTGCAAATTTTCAAATGGAATGTTTAGAACTACAATTAGATATTCAACTCAAAAATCTGATCTTCTCTTTACCAAACTTTCATAAGACTTCTCTTACCAGAGAAAAAGATCCTTTGCTTCACAATCACACCTTACTCATAGCATCATTTTTTGGCAGTACTCACATTTGTGAACAATTGTCAAAAAATGAAGTACAGGAAGAGTAAAATTTAATCAACAATCTCTGATGAACACCTTGATAGCTGAATAAGAATTGTAACTGCTGCCATCAAACCAAAGTGATACACTTGTTTCACAAAAACAAGGCCAAATATCCCACTGGTCTTATGTTTATTGTTGCTGTCTTTTTTAATATTTTAAGAAAAATACTAAAAATTAAATTCTTATGTTACTTATATTTTAATAGCACTGTATACTTTATGAGAGCTGCTCTGAAATTACTTCCTCCTATGTTAATATGTTGGCCCATGACGTCACAGGCAGATGTTGTTGGTATGGCAGTAGAGGTTGAACCTTCCCACCAATATTCCATTATGTTTTGTTGCCGTGTGACAGATGGCAGCAGAGGGGCAGTCTGACAAAAAGAAGTCTAGCATGGAAGCACATATGAAGCAAAGGTTTGTACTGAATTCCTCCATGCACAAAAATGGCATTCACTGACATTCATCAATGCTTGCTGAATGTTTATGGAGACTCAACAGTGGATGTGAGCAACACTGGATCACGAGCACTGGTGCAGATTTTTATGTTGCAGCATGCAGGCTTCTGTTCATCACTGACAAAAATGCATAGCTAATAGTGGTAACTACACTGAAATATAGTGTTTTGCAGGTAAGAATTTGCTCTATCAAACAGCTTTATTGTGCTCTTCATATACGTTCCATTTTCCATGGAAATAAAGTGGAGGCATTACTTTCAGAGCAACTCGTATATATGCAGGCTAAGACAATTCCTCTTTACTCAGTGAGGCCCAGGCAAGTCAAAAGATTGGACACCCACACATACAGGGTGCATAAGGACTTGCAGGTGAAGATTTGCATTTTGTTTCTCATTACTCCACTTTTTAAATGGCATATAAAAATATTATGGATTTACAGCTACATACTCACCTCCCTCTATTCATGATAGTTGAAAATCACATCTCATTCAGAATAAAGTACAATTTACTAAACTTCTGCACAGCTGCCTTGTTCCCTGCACAAATTTCACACAACAAATGCATACATAAAGTAAAGGTATGCCTGATGTTGTGTACAGTAAAGAATCATCAGAGTATGGCTTCATGGAAACAATCTGTGGGAGTATTTCCTGAGCTTAGGCTTTCTGAAAACTTCCTCTTCTCATTCCCTTTATATTTAAACCAGGAAGCTGGCTATTTAAACACCTCAGCTGTGCTCAATAACAGCAGCTCCCACATGGAAATGATGGTCTCTGAAGTATACCTCAAAACACATCATGGCATAGCATTTTACAGGAATGCTACAACTGACTGAGGATTCTTTGAAGGGAAATTGGAGTAGCTATGCCTTAATTTCATCAGTACGTAGGAATTATCTACAGGCAGTATTGTATAGCCAACATTAAATGTGCACAATGTTTCTCCATCTCAGAAAAGCATCACAGAACCAGATGTGCATTGCAGGCCACCATGCCACTTTCCTTCCTGTTAACACAGCAAAACTTGTATCTCTTATGCAAGTAACAGATCACGGTTCCCACTGGACTACTATTCCTATACCTGGATTTATTTCTTCACTTAATGAAATACAGAAATGCTATAAAAACCCTAGGAAGGATCTGTTCCAATGTTCTGTTTGAAAAAATATCTGCTTGAAAAGTCTGTAGTCCTTAGTAAACCAATAGTGTTAAATCATAAAACAGACAGTGTCCAAAGAGCTATAGAACTGGCAAAGTTAAGTTCCAATTTATGTGACTATAGCATTAAATATTCAACTCGTGATTCTGGAACAAAAGCAATCACAAAACTTGGAACTTCTAAGCTTCTCACAAACTCGAGTTTTCCATTTTCAAGGTCAACGATACGATCACATCAAATGTGATCGACACATCAAGATACGTCTGGCTGAGCATTTCAATGGGAACTACCTGCCAGTCTGGAGCACTGAAGACAGGATTTGGTGGTTTGTTTTGGCTGTCTGCATTGCTGTGCACCTCAGGCACATGGCTGCTCCTGAACAACTCCATGTCACAAAGTACTGCATTCATTACTCAGCACTGTTTCAGAGCTCTGCAAAATGGGAAGTTTGCATTGGTCATGGTTCAGTAAGGATTTACCTAGGGTCTGATGTTTCTGTATTTTAAAACTAAATGCTTTATTGAGAAGCAAATGGCATACTACATTATATTGTTTCACCTAGAAGCAAATACTTTAATTAAGGAAAACAAGGAGTATTGCAAAGATAATCTGTATGTTTTATGAGTCTATACCAGTGGCATACTCACATGGGTAATCATCCACAAACATTGGATCTATGTTATGAAGCAGTTCCACTCTGGGAGAAGGTCTTCCTTCACTAGAAGAGAAAGAAAATATTAACTTCCACCTACAGCTCATTAGGATTCTGCATATTTTATTTCAGTTCTCTTCATCGTACTAATACAGAATTAATTCATATTGTTAAAACTAATCTGAATGTTCTCTTCCAGCCCAGTAACACCAGCTTTTGCCCCATCTACCTTCCTTGACTTCATTGACATGTACTGGGATTACTGACAAGATTAAAAAGCATAGAACTAGCCTTACCAAAGAAGGATTTTCACTATTACCAACTTTAAAATCAAATTTAGCAGCATAAGCTGCTAACCGAGACTTGGTCTGTTCCCTGTGTACCTGAACAGGAATCATCACTCTAGAGTGCTGAAAGCATTTTGGTCGTCAGCTTCAAAAAACACCAGAGGCATTGGCAAAGCCTTAAAAAAATTCAACCTCTTTCTTTTGTAGAGAGATCACAAAGATTATTTAGGTTCTCTGAACCTTCCCCTGCAATAAAATAAATAAATAAATAAATATGTCTTTCTCCAGCTCTTAGCTCCATAGCATGAAACCCTAAGTTATTAAGAAACTCTCTGAATTAAAGAAAACCCAATCCTGAAAGAAACTCAATAAATGAAATTCACTCCTTATAAAGGGCAACATGGGTAGGAACTAATAACTATAAAGAACCTTGTCTACATCATTAAAAAGCATTATCGTATTTCCTGACTGAGAAAATAAACAAGTTTTTAGAAACTTCCAAATAACTGAAACTGTTCTCCTTTATTGTAAATCTCAACAGTCAGTGTAGGGCACTAAAGCTCTTGACATTAAAAATAAAAATTGAGGTAATAAACTTAGTGGAAATCTTGTAGAAACAAAAAAATGGCTGTTACTTTAACATATATTTCTGTGAGAAGTAGTTTATAATTGAATAATACTTACACAATTTAAACCTTTCAATATCAAGTAATTATAATTAATATTGTTCCATTTCACTTCTAAAATCATTTCTGGATGCTACACATTTTGACTAAAAAAAAAATTAACAAGGAGGACCAGATGAAAGACTAAAGTTATTCAGATAATACAACCTGGCAATTAATACAGAGGAAGTACAATAATTAACCCATAGGCTTATTGTTGGTCATACTACTGAGTGACCTGGAAGTCATTACTAAGTGTCTGTCCATACGTAACAAAATTTGATCTTAGATTTAAACGAACTGTATTGCCTCTGAATGCTTCATTTACAGCTGTTGTCAAATGTGCCTTTTCCCAGAAGTTATTAATGCTACTATGAAGCAATTAGTGCAAGTTAAATTAAGATGTGAATTTAGAGATTGTAAGTGATTTTATAGAAGCTGCTTGGGAGATATTGTCATTTTCATATGTGAATCTTCAGTATTCTTTCAAAAATGGAGGTTTATAACCACTATAACAGGACATCAGGAAGGAAGAAACAACATCCTTGTAAAAATAATACAGAACTCAAACTCACAGCAGACTTCCCTTTCCCTTTGGCTAAACTCATCTCTTTCCAATTTGCAGAGGTCTGCAGCTGACCTTAGTCCCTCCAGATGCCCTGCATTAGAAATATACAGAGCTAAATAAGAAAGATGTAAGATTTTCTATGATATCTTACGTTTGTAATTTAGCAGGTTTCATTGTAACCACATCTTCAAATTCTCTTATTTCAGAATACTTATTTTTAGAGTATAGTCTAATACTTTGCTTCCTCACCCTAAAAATAAGGAAGATTTCCCTCTGTTATTCTGCCATGTCAATTTATACTGAGAATTTAATTAGCCAGTTAAAAGTTTATTTTTTCCAAAAGTAAAAAAATAGTCTAAAAACATCTGGATTGAACACATTCAAGCTTCAGAGTTAGAGAAGAATTAGCAAATTTATGCTAAGAATATCAGTCCATTTTCTCCTTTTTAAAACCATATAGAGGATGTATTGCTCTCTAATGAATTTTAACAAATATCAACATGTGATCATTCACTTTAATTGCTGTAAGATAGGCAGAAGGTGTCCTTGGGAGGAAATCAAGATTTGTCAGAGTAAATATGTTTATCTTTTATGAAAACATCCTGACTATCACTCAGCAAAAGTATTTGCATTATCTTGCACTCCTCTGGGTCATATCTGTGTACACTTTTCTTAAATAATTTTATTCCACATATTTTGGAAATAAACATTACTCTCAGCTTTCAATTGCTATATTTGTAAGCAGCTGTTTATACCACAAATAGCTGCAAATTAACTTTTTCCAAACTCTTCCTCATGTTAATGTCACTATTTAATACAAAATAATTTAAGTTGATCTTGCTTCCTATTTCACCCAATCAAATCTGATCTATCTAACATCACAAAAATAGAAAACTGCAACATGCCAGGCAAAAGTATCAGAATAAAATCTGAAAAACTAAAAACATCTGGATTGAAAGAAGCTTTGGAGAAACAGTAGTTATTATAGCCACATTTCATTCTGAATCTCTTAGTGTCTATCTAGTAATGCTTCATGTATTTTACTACAATCAGCACTACAGTTCTCCTTTTTTTTTTCTTTGTTAATGTAAAACAAAATCCTTCTGAGTGTAGACATACTAGATATTCAGTATTGAAAAAAAAAATATATCAAAACAGTGCATCAACCAGGACAGACTTCTACATCACTATTTTGCCGTAACATCTCTATTTCAATAAATTAGAAAGCATATGGAAAACAGATGTTTCTTAGAAATGCAAGTGTCTTTTGAGAAACATGCTGAACAGTTCAGATTCCTTGATTAGTTGTATTTTAGCAATGTTTTCCATTAAATGTTTTTTTTATCCTCAATTACTATTTTTGTAAAATAGTAAGCGATATTTCTACTGGATTTTAGATATAATTTCTAGCATGTACATGGTACATTACGTTTTAAAGGTTCCAGCTACAGTGCAGTATTACTTAACACTGTTAAGTACATTACTTGTTAAGGTACAAGATAAGTGGAATCTGCCATGATTTATGCAGAATGTCTATGGCCTGTGTTAATGACACCCAGTTTAGAAGGTGAACAAGATCCCAACATGCAGGTCACTTTGACAGGATGTACTTATCTGGAGATAAAGAACAGTGAAGATTTCTGGTGCCTCAACAGAGGCAGAACAGGAAAAACAGCACCAGTAAGGGTACAAAAAGGCATAACAAAAAACTGTGCATGGTCACCAGTCTAAGAAGAACACAGATGTGTCCCTTGACCTCTGCAGCACAACTGCTGTGGCTGAGCAGAAGTGTTGCAGGGCACAGCATCAGAACTGAATTGCCTCAGTACACCTGCCCTGGTGCCTGGATGCGGGGCAGACTTCTTGAGATATTCACCTTTCAGCAACTGTATGTCAGACTGTGACTGTGTGGGTGAAACCTATTTTTCTTCCTTTTCTGTTTAAATAAAATTACATTTTACTGCCATTAGATATCCCATTGGTACTGCTGCAATGCTATTTACTACAGTAGATGAAATTAGAAAGAGCAAACAAGGTTTGAGCTCAAAGGCTCTGTCAAACAGGGTAGCGTAAAAATTTTAGTTTAAGAAAATAAGTTCAAACAAGGAGAACAAAAATACTGTATTTCTATAGTTTCATGCATTGTATGAAGGGAACTATAACTTGGAACTAAACTATAACTTGGTAAAAAGCAATGCGACTACAAGAAGCATGTGCTTATCAACTTCAGTTTTTCATGTCCCATTTGTTCCCAACCATTAACTTTTCTTCTGGTTCTTCAATCAAAATTCAGCAGAGGAAGTGCAAAATGAACAGCTGTGGACACATGTGGTTTTCAGCTCTATTTACCACAAGAATTTAATATTAATCAATGTCATATTAATACAATTCCTAATTTAGACTACTGATCATCCTAAAATAATTTGTGTTAGAATTTCAGAATTTATATTTATTTGCTATATTTTCATATCATTATCTACATAAACATGCCATATATTGTTGAATAATTGTTTTCATAATTGTATTTACTCATAAATATCATATTAAGAAAAGGTCCTTTAAGAAACTATCAATTATCTGTAGACAAAGATCAAACAGCTTTGGGAATGGATCCAATACTGTTGTGACTTCTGAGATTATGTGTTGTTTCATGCAACCCCTTGAAAGGATGCTAAATCAATATTCCAAATTTTAAAACTTTTCCCCTTTCATTGCACATACATTAAGTAGTAGACTTAGGTAGAAAGTTCAACAAAAGAATCCTCAAAGAAAAAAAAAACCTCACAGAAGCATATGCAGCTACTTGTATTGTATTAAGCAAGAAAAAATACAGATGTAAAATGGTGATAGGTTATTAATTTTCCATTTTTCAAATGAGGCAGAATCTTAGCAAATTTCACTCATTAAGAGCTACCTCATCCTAGAAAAGCAACAAATTTGAACTTTCCATCAGCTGTCATCAAAAGGGCATTATTCCTTCATTGTTTACCACCCAATTGTCAAGCGACCTTTTGAGTTATGATCATGAAATTTAATATACTTGTTTCCCCTGATTATATGGGAATATCATGTGAAACTGACATTTATGCTGCAAGTCAGACAAACAGCAGCCTGACAATTCACAAAAAGAATCGTTTTTTCTCCCCTATGGACAAAGGCCCTCCATCTGGCACAAGTGCAAACATATCAGGTCAACTATTCCTTGGCAGTGCTAGTGAACATAGCATCCAGTAAGGGACACGATTAAAGTGATGAGGGAATGCACAGTTGTACCTCTTATTCCTCACATAATTTTAATGCTGAAGTAAACTGATCTAAGAAGATCAGTCCATAACAGAGAATGCTTGTTTAAAAGGGAATCCAGAGTAGATAGGAATTCTGCTGCTGTTGGAAGAAAGGTCAGCCCATGATTTAGCAGTACTCCAGGATCTTCCTGATGCTGTTTTAATGTCAGCAGGCGAAACATTTAGCTGTGTCTGGCTCAACAGAAGTTTCAATTTCTTCCAGGAATTTAATGGCCCCCTGCCATCAAGTATATATGCTTAT